AGAATACGACCGTGCTTGAAGTTTGTTCAGACTCCGACTGGAGCGGTTGCAAAAGAACAAGGAAGTCCGTGAGCTCTTGTGCGATTCTCTGGGACAACATGCTGCTATATGCGCATAGCAAAACCCAGAAGACCATCAGCTTGAGCAGTGCAGAATCGGAATACAATTCCCTTGTGTCCGCTGCGGCAGAAGGTATTTTCTTGTCAGCATGCATCCGATTCCTCCTTCCTGATTACACGCTTGAACAGATTTGCCTTGTAGACAACTCGGCATGCCGAGCCCTGGCGTGCCGACAGGGAGTTGGGAAAATGCGCCACATCAGTGGTAAACTTCTTTGGCTTCAGCAGATGACTAAGGACAATGTGCTGTCCGTAGGGCCGATCCCTACAGCTGAAAATGTGTCGGACCTCGGCACAAAGCCGCTGAAGGCAGAGCGGATTGAAAAGCTGCTAGGCATGATTGGAATCAGATGTGCAGACAGCAACTATGGTGTTATCGGGGAGTCCTATCTCCTCTCAGCGAGGGACAAACTGCATGTGTCCAGAGTTGTTAAACAAGGAGCGCTTAGCACCCAGCAAATCATCCAAGTTCTAGCCATGCTTCTCCAAGTTGATCGCGTCGCAAGTGCAAACGATGAGCCCAATACGCAGAATGCCGAGGACGCCTTGAGCCAGGACGACGACAATCTTGGAGTGTTTGCACAGATTCTTGAATGGTTTGTGTACATGTGTTACCTTGTGCGCGATTTTGCACTTGAGTATCCAACTGGGATTATGCTGATCATACAACTGCTGATCTTGATCATGTTGTGCTGTACACTGCTGAGTCGCAATCGCGTTGCAGTGTTGAGGCAGCAAGCTGACAGTGAGGAAAGCAGTGCGGCAAGCAGCAACACACCCACGCCGAGTGTTGCCGTGCATGTGAAGGTTGAGGGTTCTACGGTTTCGCTAGCTAGTCCCGAACCTGCCGAAAACCCTAAGCTTAGCAAGCCCACTGCAGAAAGTGCCACCAGTGCGTCCAGCAGCGCAGCAGCGCGTGCCGATGATCATGATGCTCCAGACCCCAGTGCAAGCTCTTCGAGTGCCGGTGCGATGCCGAAAGCAACGTCTTTCCCGCCTCCGAGGCACGTTATCGATGAGTGGAGGGCTGAGCAACTTGTATGGGTTACCAAATCCAGAGGCAAGTCATATCATCACAGGCGGACATGTGGAACGCTTGGGAACGCAAAGGCACTTGAAAGGATCAGCAGGCAAGAAGCCATCAATCGAGGATTCAAGAAGTGCAAATGTTGTTACGGCAGTACTTGAAGTAATGCTCATGATGCGCCAATCCATGGGTTCATTGCTTTGGCACTGAGCCGATTGGTTGGATCTTGTACAAAGGCCGCGAAATGACTGTACATAGACTTGTTGAGCAGAACTTGTCTCCACCATTTTGGTGGCAATACCGCATTGACTTACCAACCACTGAGCCAGCTGTGGAGCAGCTGGGAGTCTTCATAGGTAGGCATCGTGCCACCTGATGCATATAGGCATCGCAATCCTTGTGTGCGGATTCCATAGGAATACCAACGTCTTGATGGGGGCAGCTGCGAGCTGCATGAAACCCACTTGAATGTTCCTTGAGTTACTTGTATGCCGAGCGCAAAACTTGAACCTTGGAAGCGCCTTCGCTTGGGTGAGTCAAGCTTATCACTTCGTCGGCTGCTCCTAGCCTTCTGAAGTGGTGTAACTAGTCGTAGTTGTACAGTCCTACGTAGTAGTAGCAGTTGAGCCAACGACCCTTAGAGGCAGAGCTCGAGAACGCGCAAACTTTCTTATGAGTGCAGTCGTGAACTAGTGTATTTGTTTGAGCAACGGAGAATCATAGTACAGAAACCCATGCCAAGGCCATGAGAGTCTGTAGGCGGGGTGTTTATGATTTCTCCATGTTGCATACCGTATTGTGATGTATTTGTTTTATCGGTGATGCACTCATTTTCACTTGAGCATGCGAAAGACATGTTGATTACCCGCAGGCGTTCTTCAGAGTCACAAAAGATTTTCAGCTTGAAGTCTCTTGCCCTTGAACAAAGCCCCAATGCCTTTGAAACCCTTTCAAAGCCCCTTGAAAGTCCCGTTAATCCCCTGCAAAGCTCCTTCGATGCCCGTTGAAGCCGCAGCGAAGAGTGAAGCAGCACCTAGGACCCAGGCTCGCAGGCTTGGGTCAGGTTTGCGAAGCAGTCGCGGTCCTCCAAGCGCAGAAGGAGAAAGGAGAAAGGGAGAGACAGAGAGAGAGATACGGAGAGAGAGACGCAGAGACCCGGAAGAGCCGCTCTGAGAAGAGAAAAGGGAACAAGAGCCGCTGAGCTGCGCTCGGATGCCGAGGGCCGAGGGCCGAGGCTGCGAGGCACGTAGAGGCGGTGCGGTGGGGTGGGGTCCGGCCATCCGAAGCCGCCTCTTTGGGCACGTCTTGTGGAGTGTCTGCGGTTTTACGGCTCATGTCGCAGCCTCAAGTGCCGAGTTAGTTAGCGGAAGGCTCGGTCTCGGTGGCCTCAATGCTCAGCCTTAAACCCCGTAAACCTGCAAGCCCTGCAAAGAAATCTGTCGAGTTTGGGGGGAAACTGCATGTCGAATCCTCGAAAGCCGAAGCCTCCCCTCCCCTCGCGGGCGAGCTCGCGCGAGAGAGAGAGAGAGAGAGAGAGAGAGAGAGAGAGAGAGAGAGAGAGAGAGAGAGAGAGAGAGAGAGAGCGAAGGCCTTGAGTTCAGCCGTTCAGCCGTGCCACTGCTTTGAGGCGTCGCCTTGTGAAGTCTTGAATGGACCGGCTTCACTACCTGCCAGATCTGTATCTCTTCGAGGTTCCGTCGGTGACATTCTGGAGCCGCTAATTGACGACTTACTCGCGCCCGAGTGATGACAGCAGCGCTGCGGATCGGGCAATTGGCCGCTTCCTCAACCTTTGCATGCCCGCAGTGTGTCAAACTTCGCCTGGTTGCAGATGTCGAAGCGTAAAGACTGGTGACTGGAGTGTTTGTCTCTGAGGCCAGAGATACCTCTGCTATGGCTTACCGTGCCCACGCAACGAGCACGTGGAGCCCGCCAGATATTTAACTGTCGAGAGACCTAGCACGATGTTTGCGCACCGTTGCACTGCCCTCCTGCATGTTAGTTTATTCGGACTTCTAGGGCCATTCCCAGTATTACTTACCAGTGGTAGAGTTCGGAATGCTTTCAGGTCAATACTATCAGCGACGATCATATGCCTTCTGGACCTGCCAGGATGATTAAGTACGACCACGCCTGCCAGGTGGATCTTCGGAGCATCGGCGCCATTTCGGGGCGCATGTCGGATTCTCAAGAGCTTTGGTGCTTGGGCTGTTCACAAGCTCGTGCTGAGAAGGGAGCTATGCTGGGTTTTTTTCCGTCTTTTGCTCCAGTTGGTGCTGGGGCTGTTCACAAACTCATGCTGGGAAGGTAGCTTTGTGCGCCGATTATTCGTGCGTTGTTTCTGTTGTATACTGGTGCGTGGTCTTTTCACGAACCCGAAGCTGGGACGGAAGCTATGCCACCCACTCAACAGCACTCCTTCTGACTCGTTCTTCTCTGTGCTTGCGGGCTTCAAACAGCATCTCACGAGTCAGCTCTAGATGTGGGAGCAGTGGGCACTCCAGCAAGGCGGCTGTCGAGAAAGTGAACAGGCTGAAAACTCCATACTCTTTGCAGTTGGCCCGGCGGTGAGGCGGTGATCGATATCCTCAGACAGCAAATTACGGCACACTTTCCGCGACATTCCTTAAAGATCCTCTCCTCTCCACTTCAAGAACGAGGAAACGCACATCTCCACGTTTTGTTTTAAGGATTAAAAAGTTTTGCAAGCTCCCCCAGGAGAGTTGAAAGGTAAAGGCGAGCACCAAGAGAAAACAGCGCACCAGCGCTGCTTGCAAAACCTGGTTTCGTCTCCGGTCGTCGAGGGCTTCACAGGCCGCAGGCCCCTTCCGTGGGTGCAGGTGCCTTCACCGACGTGGCAGGCCAACGTTGGGCTCGTGCCTGAGATGTCCGGCATCGTGTTGGGTTGCTGGCAAGCGCGGCTGACGGTTTGCGGTAGTTTGATGTGATTTTCGAGCTGCAGCAGGCACCCTTTGTGTGCAAACGGATCCGAAACGACGTTGCGACAGCGATGGTGGCGATGGTGCTGAAAGTATAGACGACAGTGATAACGATGACGATGGGATGACGACGGACCGCCGATGTGCTATTGTAGTTTTCAGCCGGCCGCTGTCAAATTCACATTTCCTCTGAAACCATCCTTTCCCCTTGGTCTGAGTTTGGGATGCCCGAGCTCGGCTCGATCAGGTGGCGAACACGACTCCGACAGAATACGGGAATACGGACGTCTGTGCCTGCTTGCATATCCAGCAGTTATTCAGTAGAAGTAGGGAGCCAGCCCGAATGCAACGAACAATGCCTTCACTTTGTTTTATTGCTCTTTGTACGTATGTCTACCGACCTTTACTGTTGCTTGGCTCAAGACAAAAAGTGTGTGTGCGATTCGTGCTATCGTGCACTATCTATAGGTTATCAGCCGTAGCCTAGTCGAGCCATATCCTTTTCCAGGTCGCTCCTGAAATCCTGCAGGTAACACCGGAATGGAGGACACAGCCGAGCCAGTGCCAACGGGTATCTCAGATATGACATTGGCAACTGATGAAGCAAGTGATCAAGGATTTCCTCCATTAATGCCAACAGGTGATAGTCATTTGCCGAATGACGGACTGGCAATCATGTCACATGATGCAGCGCACTCTCCGATTGATTCGTTGCTTAGGGAACGTGTCCCTACTACGCCAGTATCTATTGCACCTGTTACTCCGGTAGGAATACCTGGACCATTGGCTCATGCTACGGGCGTGCCCAGCCCATCAACACCAATCTATTCACCTCACTATCATCAAGCAAGCCTCACCCAGAACCTTCAGGTTGTCGATGCCAGGCAGTTGACGATTAATCAGGATGCATCTCCGATGGTCGCCTTTGCCGCCGAGGCACGACACAATCAGATTATCGGCGAATTGGGAGCAGAACACCAGGAGCAGCTCCGTGCAATGTACAATAGTGGGCTTGCAGAGGTAAACAAGTTGAGGAACGAATTAGGCAATGCTAACATTGCGTTGTCGATTCAGAGGTCTGAAATGGGTCAAGGTGAAGTTCGTTTCCAACAAACCGAAAGCGCGAGGGAACTCGCTGTCATTGAAGCCAACCGGCAAGCGGAAGCTGCCCGTAGAGCTTTAGAGGAAGCTAACAGCAATGCCAGGCGCCTTCGCGAAGTGGAAACTTCTGCCCGTCAGAATGATGCAATGCGATCCCATGAGGTCGCTGACATGTCATCTCGGATGGATGAACTGATGAGGCAGCTTCACGCCCAGCGTCAGCAGACAGAGGTATTGATTCAGCAGAATAGTGCATTAAGCTCCAGGGTTCGAGATTTCGAAGCTAGAGATGCTGCTTTGAGGATTCAAGAGGGAATTCCACAAGGGCCTCCACCCGGCATTCCCGTGCATCCCATTTCCACCCCGAAGCATGGAGGTGACACTCCTACGGAACAGGCGACGGACGCCGGGAGGCGAACCCCTCCAGATGGCTCCAGCCCAGGTGGCGGTGGTGGTGGCGGCGGGCCTGATGGCAACGGCCCCAGCGGAGGCGATGATGATCATGATCGTCGCAGTCGGAAGTCCAAGAAGGATAAGAAGCATAAGAAGAAGAAGTCGCGCAGGCGACGTAGGCGAGATCCTTCGTCTTCCCCTTCTAGCTCTAGCAGTAGCTCCGGTGATTCGAGTTCTTCATCATCCCGCATTGATAGGAAGACCATGAAGAAGCTCCTTAAGCGGATGAGTGAAGCTGTTGGTGACCGTGGTGAAAAGCCCGAGAAAGACGACAAGCCCAAAGTGAAAGAAGCTGAGAAGATTACCTTCCCCAAGTTCCCGCAACCTGAGAGCTACAGGAATTGGAGGCTAAGGGTTCGTGAAGCGGTCGTTGCCGCATCCGATCGTCCCGATGATGCCTTTTCGTGGCTTTCCAAGGTTTGGGAGAAAGATGTCAAGGAAGAAGATCTTCACGACCCGGAAGGGTTCGTCACTTTGGATGCTAAGGTACTGTCGGCGGTCACTAACATCCTGGAAGGTGCCTTTGCGAGACAGGTTGATACCTTCAACGAGCGGGAGGCAAATGCCGGGAGACTTGTTCGGGGACGACAAGTGCTTTTCAAGTTGGATAATTTCTTTTCTACCAACGCACAGCATGGTTCAGTTTACGAGTTTGAGGACCTCTTGTCAGTCAAGATGGTCAACGAGAAGCTTGAGACTTTCATGCACAACTGGGAAACTGTATTGTCAGGGATCCAGACTACCCCCGATGAGAACTTCCTTGAGCCCTTGTTCCATAGGCAGATTAAGCGCTTCAAAGACCTCGCACATGATATCAACATCTATGAAAGGGCAACACCAGGGCAGCCAGAGAAGACCTACAAGTTTTTGTATGACGCGGCTACGAACTACTTGAGTCGCAAGCGTCTTGAACGCAACCGGGAACGGATTGCCAAGCAATATGGTGCTGATGGGAAACCATCTGCCCCCGCTCCCAAGAAGAAATTCGTCCCTAAGGGATTTTGTTTCGAGTTCGTACAGAACGGTAAGTGTAGCAAAGGAGACAAATGCAAGTACAAGCATGAGATCCCTGAGAAGAGAGGCCGGTCGCATTCAAGAGGTGGAGGTCGCGCTCAGTCACCGTCTGGCAACGACGGAAAACCCAGAGAATGCAAGTTCTGGAAGAGTGGGCGATGCAAGAAAAGGAAGTGCATGTACGTTCCTCCACACAGGCAAGCCAAGTGCTGCTGCGGCGTCACAAGGCGGCTCTCAGGGGGGAAGACCAGGAAGCGCAGGCAGCAAAGGGAAAGAAAAGAAGGAGAAGAAGGGCCATCGCAAATCGCGGTCCAACTCGAAGGGCTCTCAGGGGTCGAAGAACTCTAAGGGCAGCAAGGGTTCGGACAAGCGAAAGGGTCCAAAATCACCAAAAGTTCCCGCTGCGGTCTGCATCCTAGGGGCATTGATCGCCGCGGCATCGGGTACCCAAGCCGACGCTGCTTATGCATTCCGGAAGGATATGCCCGATAGTCGTGGTGACATGTCAGCTACCTTTTCATGTGCGTTGCCAGCTATTCGTTTCGACGATAATCCGATGCTCATCAACATCCCACCTGACGGAAAGATGTTGCCGACAGAACCCGAGACACGGAGGTACTTGAAGTCCTTCGGTGGGGAACCTCCTAGACCTAGTCAACAGGACGTCAAAGATGCACTGACGACTGCCAGAATGCTTAAAGCAACTCTGGATGCATATGGTTCCGGGATAAGGGCTAAGTGTGGTTATGAGTGTGACACGGAATTCGGTTGCGACAAGTGCATTCCGAAACACATTGAAGCTACCTGTGTTGCAGCTACCAAAGCGGAAGCCCAGCAGCTCGACATTGAGTGGATCGCGGATACCGGCAGCGCCCAGGACCTGGTTTCACAGGGGGATCTCGGATCTTTGAGAAGCCATCGTTCCCAAAATCCTATCGGTATTGTGACGGCTAATGGGCCTAGCACTGCTGAGATTCAGTTCAACATCGCAGTTCCTTCACTTGGAATCGACAGCCATCCATACGTGTTGCCTAGCACACCCTCTGTTCTATCCGTTGGTTACAGATGCATGGAAGAGGGATTCGATTTCGTTTGGAGATCGGGTACAAGACCTTACTTTCAGTCATCTAGCGGTGAGCGGATATATATGGATGTGAAGGATTACGTCCCCTACCTCAAATCGTGGAAGGAAGGTGTGGCGGTACCTGCGAGGCGGAAGCCCCAGCCCGATGAGGACCATAAGAATGATTTGGTTCTTTCGCTTGAAGAGGCTGAGGGATATGCAAGGGAACTTCGGATCAACGGCGACTTTCGTCTGGGATCGTGTTACAAACTTTTGAAATTGACACCATTCAAGTCTACAGGGAATTCGAGGAGAATGAAAGCTACTGAAAATGACGACTCGGTTGAAGATGAAGTTGGCAGGGACTACATAATCATCGGCGCTTGGATTTTTAGCGGTATGACTGGAATCACAACTTCTGTAGACCGTCATGCTCAGCTGACCAAGTACCTGATCGCCTTCATGAAGTCAAGAGGGTTGAAAGATACCTTTACGTCCATCTGCATCAACCATGGTGGCAATCGCCGGGTGCATCGAGACTTATTGAATCATGATGACTCGCTCAATCACACTCTAGGCGTTGGAAGCTATCATGGTGGTTCCGTATGGGTTGAGCGGAAGGACGACTTTCCCGTATTTCGCAGAGAAGGTGTAGCTGGTGGGAAATCAAAGTGCGTCAAGGTTACGGGGGGGACTCGAAGTCAATGGAAGAGTATACGACACTCATGATCGAATGTTATCCTTCCACCCCAAGCTTTGGCATCAGGCACAGCCTTGGACAGGTGATCGATGGACCATCACTGCATACACGATTCGGGATGTAGACGGTTTGAGCTGGGAAAAGTCAAAGTCGCTAATGTCGCTTGGGTTTCAGTTGAATTCATCAAGACGGTTACCATTTGTTCCATCATTGATTACCGGCGACAGCGATGAAGAGCTCACACTTTACGACTTTGTGAAGAAGAAGAAGAAAGCCGAAGCCGAGAAAGATAAGGTTCCTGAACCAGCTCCTCCTCTGATGAAGAGTAAGGCCAAGTCTAAGCCCAGCAAGCCTGATGCCGGGCGGAAGCCTGAGCCCGAGCCTGAAAAGGGTGCAGACATGTCTGATCTTTTTGATATTGAGGAGCATTTCGATGAAGCCGGGGAGTTGAAAAGTGCCGAGGATCAGCCACCTCCTCCTCCTGTTCCTGCTGAGGCAGATAAGCGTTCGAAGGGAGAGAAGGTTTTACGTGAAGAAGCTAAGAGCAAACATCATCTGATGACACACGTCCCAAAGAACCCCTTTTGCCCTACATGCCAAAGAGCGAAGATGTTCAAGCCGCCTTCGTATCAAACGAATGGTTCCAGGTTCATTGAGTCTGAGAAATTCGGCGACCATCTCACTGGGGATCATCTCATTGTCTATCGCGACAACGAAGAAGAGATTAAGGATTCGCGATTAGCTTTGGTTATGAAGGACGTGGCAACGGGTTTCCTCGCGGCCTATCCCTCCGGACGGAAGTCTCAGGACGAGTGCTATAAGGCGCTCAACCACTTTGTTGCTAACAATGAAGATGTTGGCATCTTCTACAGTGACAATGCTCCTGAAATTAATGGGGCAGTAGAAGAAATGGGCTGGAAGCATGAACATTCTAAGGCCTATGTCCATCAGTCCAATGCCATGGCTGAGCGTGCGATCAGGACTGTTACGGAAGGCACCAGAGCGAATCTGGAGCAAGCCGGTCTGGCTCATGCTTATTGGCCCCATGCCTTACAACATGCTTGTGTTGCCCATAACATAAGCCATCCCAATGGTACGAAGTACTCTTCATGGACTTTGCGGTTCGGCAAGGACTTTCATGGGCCGTTGATTCCATTTGGTTGCCGAGTAGACTACTGGGTCGGTACTCGAGAACAGCGGAAGCTGCAAGGGTACGAAAGATTTGAGAGTTCATCAGAACATGGGATCTTCATGGGTTACCACTTCCAACCAGGAATGCGTTGGCGTGAAGAGATGTTGGTAATTCCGATATCCAAGCTGAATGGAAGTGACTTCTACGAGTACTACAAGCCTAGTAAGGTGCATCAATTGAAAGTGCCTGACGGTGAGTTCACTTTCCCCATGGTCGAACGTTATAACCGTGTCCGAGACGGGCTAGCGCATGACGCCATCGAAAAGCCTGTCGTTGAATCTCTGAGAAATCAGGATGCGGAACCAGTCGTAGATCCTCCTGGGGACGGTGAGGCTGAAGTAGAAGTACCTAAAGTTATTGATCCCAAATCAGGTGACCTCGTTGAGTTGCCCGAAGGCGGACGATTCTATGACTCCAGTGGAACTCTTGGTAGGAGATATGGAGGGTCCAGAGGTTCAAAGAAGCCGGATAGCATTCCTTCTCATATATGGGTCAATTTGTCCAAGAGGCAGAAAGATAAGGCGATAGCGGAAGAAGCATCGAAAATCGCTAGGGAATATCATGAAGGTGCCGATCGGGCAGGTGGCGGATCATCGAGTTCAAGGCCTGCTGCGACGCTTGGTGCGTCCCGAGATCGATGGGAGATCAAGGGAAACAAGTTAGTGCGGTATCATTGTGTTCCTAGACGAGAACTTTTCTCTCCTGATATCACCGATTGTCCTATTCCCACTTCTAGGATAAAGCCGACAAGGATCTTGCAGATCATCCCCGTGGGAACGGAGGACACTGTTGCTGATGAAGATGATTGGACAAACCCGCGAAGAAGGAACAAGAAATTGCCTTTTAGATGGACCGGCAAAACCATCTTTGAGATCCTACCCTTGGGTACTAGCAGTGCTCATATCGTGGGGGAACCCTATCCGACTATGCCAACGATCCCACGTAGTGGGGAACATCGCGAAAAGATTGGTAATGACCATCAATTCACCCAATCTGAGCTGGAAGTTATGATGGCCTTAGTGGCTCGTCCGGTTGGCAAGAAGGAGCTCGCGGAGAACAATGACGCCCAGAAATCACTTGACGTGGAATGGGATAAGTTGATGCAAAAGCGAGCATGGGGTATGGATAACCCACGGGAGTGGTCTGAGATCTCGGCGGAAGCCGTCAGACGGGGTCGCAAGGCCCATGTTGGACGTGTTTTCGAAATCTGTGTAGAAAAAGGGAGCGAACTCCCCAAAGGAAATCCCCTGAGGAAATTCAAAGGCCGTACGGTCTTCCAGGGTAATAATGTCCAGGACGAAAGCAGCAATGCCGCCCTGTTCTCGGAGTTAGGTTCGAGCCCTGCTTCGATGGAGGCGGGCAAGGTGCTGGATACGTACGGATCTCAGCCAGGTTTCGCCTGTGAACAGGCCGACGGTAAGCAAGCTTACACTCAGACGACTTTGAAAGGCGCTGAAACTTGGGTTCGATTACCAAGGGAGCGGTGGCCTAAGTCCTGGGTTGGCAAGTTCAAGGATCCAGTAGTTCGGCTTTTCCTTGCGCTGTACGGACACCCTGATTCGGGGGGCTTCTGGGAGAAGCATTGTGAGCAGAGACTCAAGCAAGTGGGTTTTGATCTTCTGTTTCCCTCTTCGTGGCCTTCGGTTTTCTTTCATCCTAAGCTTCGCCTACTCTTAGCCGTCTACGTTGATGATTTCAAGATGGCTGGACCTGTTGAGAATATGCAGGAAGGGTGGAAGCTGATCGGGTCCAAGATCGATATGGATAGCCCGACTCCACTTGGAAGATACCTTGGGTGTGAACATGTAGAGAAGAAGAAAGTTCAACTGGGAACAGCTGACCATCCCTTTGCCCTCATCTTTGATAAGAGTATTCCTGACCCCGCGGCCAAACCTTCGGTTCCGGCTACGTCCCAGGATTATACGGAGTACTTTCCTGATGAAGGTGTTATTGTTCGCCATCATATGCAGCCTCGCAAAGCTAAGTATGCTGTTAGCGCTGCGGAAGCAGACGTCTTGAACATCGGCGACCTGCGGTTGACCGAACGTCAGCTTCTTGGAAGTACTTCTGCAGAAGAACAATGGGATGATGGTTTCCGGGGGGGTAAGGCTTCGGGACTTTGGACGGGAACCACTTACTTGTTTGATCGTGGTATTGATAAGCATCATGCCGTGGCTGCTGTTAAGCGCCTTCGTGACAAGAACACAGCTAAAAAGGAAGCTAGGAAACAGGCTTTCTATGACATCAGCCAATTGTCGAGTGGCACCGGATGCATGAAACAACCCGTCAACATCATCGAGTATGACATGAAGTCTTTTCTTGAACAAGCTGTACAAAAGTACAAAGACCTTGCTGGCCCCAAGTATCACACCCTCAAGTCAGCCTCTACTCCTTTCGCCGACGAGAAGATCGCGAGGCCCATCGACGATGAGGCCGAGGCAAAGGGTGAATTGGCTCCTATCGCTAGCCGAGTTCTGATGAAACTTTTGTTTGGTGCCAGGATGGCTCGTTATGATCTTTTACTGGCTGTTCAGGGATTGGCAAGCAGAGTCACCAAGTGGTCTGCTGAATGCGACCGGGCTTTACACCGATTGATGTGTTATGTGAATTCCACCCTAGACTTGAAGTTGAGGGGATTCATCGGTGACCCGATTGACCAGTGCAAAATATGGTTGTTTGCTGATGCAGATCATGCAGGTGAGCATGATAACAAGAGTACATCAGGATGCTTCGAGGCTTTGGTCGGACCAAACACGTACTTTCCTTTGGCGGCTTACAGCAAGAAGCAAACCTCAATTTCTATTAGTTCTACCGAGTCCGAGGTCGTATGCGCCAATATTGCTTTGAGGACTGTTGGTTTGCCATCCTCCGCTTTATGGAGTGTGCTCCTGAAGGCAGGGGGGAGTTCAGACGCATCAAAGCCGAGCGCACCCCGGAAAGGAGATGCCTGTTTGGTCAAATTCCCAGATCAGGATGTTGCCTCTCAGGTACCGAAGACTGGTAGACATGAACTTATTGATTGTCGAGTAGCTGTTCTTTCAGGCGGTGACAGTATCCCTGAACCCGTTGAGCTCGCATCCCACCCTCTTCGAGATGTATGGTTGCTCCGGGGGGACAAATGGTCCAGAACAGAAGAAGCTGTCGCTTGGGAAGAGCTCGAGAATGCCTCCTATATGGTTCCGAAGGATGCTAAAGCCATCTTGTGCCTGTACCGGAAGTCATCATTGGAGTATCGTCGCTCTGCGGAAGCAGAAGCCGAATTGAATTATGAGGCTTACAAGCTCCGTCATGGACTTGGCGACTTCGAGTACACCGATGATGCAAAGATCAGATCCGATCATTCATTGATCATGGCTGCACCACATTGCATGCAACCTGTGATGTTAGAAGATAACCAGGCCACTATTAGGATCATGGAGTCCGGAAGGTCACCGGCATTTAGGCACACAGACAAAACCCAAAGAATCAATCTCGGATGGGTATCGGAACAGTTCAGAAGGAAGCATTATGATCTCGCGTACATTAGTACCTTGTTGCAGTCTGCCGACATTTTGACTAAGCCATTTACCAACATTGACAAATGGAAGAGAGCGGTTTTCCTCATTGGCCATGTCTATGTCAAACCATCAAGGCCTGCTTCGCCAATCGTCGTGCCGGACAACCTCGAGAAGAGGATCGAGCCCGAGAACAACGGGGTTCTCATCGAATGGGGACATGATCCGCCGATCTCTCTGCTCGGAAGGGCAGACGATAGTGGTAGCGGTAGCCCATCTGTCGTTCGGGTCACTCATAGCATGGACCTTAACAGTACTCAGACGAGTAGGGACTTGCTCAAGGTCGTCAAAGGCTATGCCAAGTCGAATGTTCCCATTACCGTTTGGGTTGACCTGCGCTTTGCGGGGGGTCCTGATGATCGCAAACACTTTGGCAAGCTATGGTCTTCTTTCGTCAACTTAAGCACCGGATTGGATTTGAATAACTGCCATTACGTCGTGATTGCTCCCTGGGATCATTTCTCATGGAAGATGGATCGAGTTGTCAGGTGGTGTTCCAATCATGAGTGTGCGAGTTTTGAACTTCTTGATGGCGAAAGATCAGGCAATTTAGGTCATTGGAGATTGCATACTTCCTACAAGAATTTGCCAATTGAAGTGATGAACTATTTTCATGGCTGTAAGCTCAAGAACATTTCAGAGCCACAATTTCCTGTTCGACAAGCTGCTGTTGCGGTACAAGTTACTCTGAGCGAAGATCCAATAGGAAGCGCAGCAGTGATGGCATCCTCTTTGCCCACCGTTTCTCTGGAGGAGCGTCGCCGACGCATCGAGGCTTTCCGCAGGGCTCTTAAGGACCCTGATTGCCTCGCGGAAGCGATGGCCTTTGAGGAACCGGCATATTTTAAGGATGCCTATGGCGTTGTGAAGGAGGCGTACCAGTACAAGCTGGTGGAGCCTGCGGAGTCTGATCCGCCAGAGGCCATTTTCCTCGGCCGTATCCGAAACGGCGAGTGGATTGGTCTGCGGAAGCAGTACCCCTACGCAGGTTTTCCCCTCCTGTACGAGATGTGGCACCGCCATTTCAACAGCCCGGCTCATCAGGGAATGCCGATTGAGGGCTTCGAGCTCCATGGCGATTCCCTCCTGACGGAGTGGACAGAACTTGTCAAAGCTTATCTCCGCGACCTGGCTTATGTGGGGCATGCCACAAACGCCGAACGGGCTCTCAAGGCCACTGAGCCGTTTGATGTCTGTCACAGAGCGTATGTGCTATCCCAGGAAACCCTGGGCTACCACGAGTTAATGCCAGCTGCCACGGCGTTGTTAGACTCGGTGTATACTCCAGCCCTCCGAAGAATCGAGCATCAAGAGCAACCAAGCTCGTATTTTATTATCGGAGGAGATAGCTCTCTCGCGTTGGTGACCCGCGGCGACGGTGGACGCGTCCTGATGAAGGGGACGATGGAACCGTCACTCCGGGAGGAGATGACCAAGGACATTCGCATGGATGGATGTTCGGTCGTCATGCGCTGGGGAAAAGGACTTGGAGACATCGTGTGGCACGTGGAACAAGAGCTCAACCGAGTCCAGAAGTGGAAGAACGGCCAGGAACCGCTCGCACCGGAAGGTGTCGACATTATCATTCAATGGGGTGGTAATGACGTCTATGGCGAGTATGGTTACAAAGGCTTTTCCTTCCACATGCGCAATGCGTGGGTTCGTGTTGATGATGCATTGCATGACACACTTTCCAATTGGGAGACCAAGGGACGCAAGGCCGTCGAGGACCCAAAAGATGCCCTGGTCCGTCTCTCATCCCGGAAGGGAGTGTCCTCTGTCACGTTGGTGGCTGGCCCCCACAATGGGGAATTCTATGGTCTCCCGGAGGTCTATGACCTGGAGATGGCACGCCATTCCGATGAGTTGAAGGAGCGAGGGATCCGCATCGTTGATCCCCAGGCTCACATCCTTACGACAGAGCGTTACGATGGGTTTCACATGGAGGCTACCCACGACAATGTGAAGGTAACCACCCGCTGGTTCTTTCACCTTTGCTCTGCAATCATGTTCGAGCGGTGGCTTGTGAAGCACGCGATGGAACTTAAGGCCAATTCGCGTGGTATCCTCTTTCACAACCACTTTCACCTCGGACTCGGCTTGGAAGAGCTCGACATCCCTCCTACCACGGACTTGCTCATTCCGGCGGAAGCTGAGATGGTGACTTTCCCACCTGAGGCACCGCCCGTGCAACGTTTCCCAGAGGAGGAGATTGTCTTGAACCAGCCGATCCTCAGCTTGGAAAAGCTTGACGAGCTTGAGGGTGTACCGCCCACTGACTATGTCAATGAAGTGGCAAAAGAGTCAGAGGAGCTCACGGTTGAGGACGTAGTGTCTCGTAACCCGAATCCGGAGGACGAGCACCTCACCGTGGAAGCGGTTGACCCCGGCTCGGAGATGGAACAAATCGTTCGAAAAATGATTGAGTCGGTGAACCTGGTGATGACGGATAAGGAGGCTGAAGAGGTCGCCCAGGAGACGGGTGTTGCTCCATACGAGTTTGTTGAGCCGAATGTCACAGCTACATCTGTCGTGGATGGTGAGGCAGTCTCTACGATTGCTACTTCCGACATCCCGACGGAAGTCTGGGACTCTGGTCCGATGGCTGTGGACTACGGCGCAGATGACGAAGTGGAGCATCCCCGCGGAAGTGGTGGACCCATCTGGCTTACACCGGATCAGCTACCTGATGTCAAGGGTCGCATGGGATACTTTCGCCTCAATGAGATGGAGTGTGTTTCGTTGGGCAAAAAGCTGTCGTGGCACCTGCGTGGGCATGCCAAGGACAAGGGGTTCCGCACTGTTGAGTTCGACGAAGAGCAGTCAGCAGAGATTGGTGATGTCTTGAAGGTCATTGGGAAACAGTGGTCCCGCCTGACGGTGATGACCATTATTGACCTGTTGACGTCCGATCACTGTGACAAAGCACGGTTCGAACTCCAGGCGGAAGCCTTGGACGAGGAGACACGGTTGGGCCGGGGAACAAACTGGCACTTTACCCGTGTCCGAGCATTCCAAGGACACAACGCCTGCTTGCTCGTCCTCGGCAGTGACCCGCTGAAGACCACTGTCAAACAGTGGGCCCTCGATGATCAATGGATCCCGTCCTATGTTGATCTACCGATCACGGGTCCATATCCTTATCGGGCAACGGCCTTCGATCTGATGCCAAAGCTGGCGTACCACGCCACATACTGGCGAAATTTCATCAAGATCGTCAACACAGGCCTCATCCCGGGAGGGAAAATGACCTCGAAGGGCAACAGCGGGAGGCCCTTCAACATGTTCGCGATGGAGCCTCAGTGGGAACGCACCTCCAATCAGGGTGTCCGCCCTGGCGCGCAGCTGGAATTTGTGATAGACTTACAGCTCGCTGCTTGCGATGGCTGTCGGTTTTTCGAGACAAAAGCTGGAGCGCTGCAGACGCCGGATTGGATCAGCAACCGGGCCATTCTGTATGCATATGACCGGTCGACTCAGGAGATGATCTGGGCGAACCGAGCATACGAACCAGCGCGGAAGCGCTTGGCCCAGGCGTGCAAAGACAAGAGCCTCAACACGCCCATTTATGGCGAGCGGGGTCACCAGGAACTGATCGATGCAAACGGCTATTGCTTCAACTACCTCGTGGCAGGCCTAGGGTATCGCAATTTCGACACCTGGAAAGACGCCGCTAAGGCATGCAAGGATGTCTACGACCTTGATTTCTACCCAACAAGCATGTGTGGTCTAGACATTCGCATCCCGGAAGGGCATGCCTTGCAGGGCTCTGAGTCATTGTACAAGATGGTGGTTCACGTGGCTCCGAAGCAACCTCATCAGAAATGCAACGATGAGTCGGATTGGCGCCGCCAAGAGAATGTCAGCATTCCTTCTTTTGCTTGCCCGAGCTGCGGTACATCCAACGTTGATGGTACAATCTGCTGCTATCGATGTGAGTCTCGACTGGAACCGCACTCAGATGTGAGCATGGCTTTGGAGAACACCCGTGCCAAGCAAGTTGCCGCCCGGAAGGGTGAGCCCCTGGATTACAGGGCATTGCAACCGAGCGGGGAGGTCAACTCCAATCGGGCCACGGGCAACAAGAGGGATCGGAGTGCTGGCTCTGGCCCAGCCGCTGTTCGTCAGCAGGCCGCTAAGTACCTCGGAAAGGCCTTGAAGGCGGGTTCTCGCACTGTTGTTGAGCGTCAGTCTCGTGATCCGTTCACGGCCTACAACAATGCAAGATTTGGCATATCCATCACGGGGCTTGAGCAACTCATGATTTTCGCCCGAATGAGGATCGCCAACCCGCCGAGGTCACGCCAGATGATCCATGACCGCACTGGCTTTGACGGCGCAGCAAAGGTGAGCTTCTCATTCCCACCGGAAGGTGAGGACCTGACACTTACGGACCACTGCTTTGTGGCGTTCGTGGACAGGTTCTACAAGCTTGATGAAGCCGCCTTGTTGGCGTTTGCCGTCCATCGCAATGGCTACGTCATGGACATCCTGGGCTTCAGCGGTCGCGTGTTGAAGCCGACCGGTCCAGTGGTACAGATCTTGGCTAGGATTGTGGGATTCTTCCAAGACGAGGTACGATATGCAGTTGAGCGCGGCGAACAGGTGCCTGAGCTGGTTTTACCTGCCAATCAGGAACTCCGCGTCCCGGAAGGGCTCGCCTCTCTTGGGGACAGACAGCTGAACGAGCTTCTCATCAACACGAAGTTCGCGAGACAGCTCCCCGGCGCCAAGGGCGTCAATGAGAGGATCGGATATGCCTTTAGAGCAGGGAGGACGGAGATCAGAGGCAGATCAGCTCAGCCACCGATTCCTAAGGCGAGGCCAACTACTCGAGCGACTGGCAGTGCACAGCGAGCTGGCTCAGTTCCTCCGAAGCCACGAGCGCGCCCTCGCGATGCACCGATGCGTCCGCCCGAGCCAAAAGGGCCTCCACCAACGACCTTGGTTGTCGATTCAAGGGGGAACCCTATTGACCCATCGCAGCCTCGCCGACCTTACTTTACCCGGCATGATGCGCTGCTTTGGGCTCGCCTCAAGGCATCTCGGGACAAGAACGTTCCCAGAGGAATGGAAGATCGTGCGGTACCAGCTTTTCACGATTTGAACGACTTCCACCTCCTGGCACCGGAGCATGTGGGCTACTTCCTCTCTGGCTGGAAAGAGACCCAAAACGGGATCCGCCTGTACTGACTGCCGCGTCTTGTGCAGTACAGTAGCAGCTAATTAACATTTTCGGTTCGTTGTGCTGTATTCTCCACCCTGACGGGTCGGACATGTAAGAGTAGTTTATCTGCTCCATGTCGATTGTTCTGCCTCCCTGACGGGACGGCTTAAGTAAAGGGCCGGAACTGATGGGACATGGCACGTCAGGAGTGTTGAGATCTTTCTAAGAGCTTTGTTGCACCTAAGGTGTAAAAATCAGCCTGCTTTTGCATTCGCAACATGTTGGTAGCATACTGTACTTCTACTTTCGCCTCTCTTCGCTGCCCTAAGAGGCGCGGGGGGTGTTTTATTGCTCTTTGTACGTATGTCTACTGACCTTTACTGTTGCTTGGCTCAAGACAAAAAGTGTGTGTGCGATTCGTGCTATCGTGCACTATCTATACACTTTTTGATTTCAGAGTTTGTCACTCGCCCCTCCTGCCACCACCGCAGCCGAACTGGATCCCAGTGTTAGAGATCAAATGACAGTGAACTTTGGGCTCAAGTGAAGCCCAGAATAGTTCACGCAGCGCGGACGTTGCAGCCATGCAGCCTCAGAAGAGGCAAGGCGTGGAAGCGGGCTTAAGCCTTGCCGAAGTCATCCGCAGCTTTGGGCTTCCAGACCCTCCATCGCAGGAGGCCTGCGATGCGAAGCAGGTTGCTGAAGAAGAGCTGCGCAGTGGCAAAAGAGGAGCTACAGCCTGAGGAACAAGTAGATGCACAGGAGTCGCAGGACGATCTTAAGGAAGAGCTGGCATGGAAGGAGGAGGAGGCGGAGGAGGAGGTTCCTCAGGCAGGGTTCGCAGATCTCAGGCCGGAAGAGAAGAATAAGCTGCTGACTGTATCTGAAGAACTCAGGAACGAGATTGGTATGAAGTCCTTCACCACGTTTGATGCCCGGACAAGTCCCGAAAACTTGAAAAAATGGTGCATACCTTTTTTTCTAGGTACAGGCAGACGGAAACGGAGGACCATTCTTACGAGACGGTGGAGCTCTTTCACAACAATCAGCGGAGGTTTAAAAAACCTCCGCTGATTGTTGTGAAAGAGCTCCACCGTCTCGTAGGAATGGTCCTCCGTTTCCGTCTGCCTGTTGAATCAACGTTGAAAACGCCTTCCTTCCCCCGGGCATCTTTGAGGGCGAGCCGGTGCTACATCGCCATATGGCCGAAGCGTCTGCGTGCAGGACATTCCTGGAAAATGAAGAGGCTCGGGAGGCTGCCAGCAGTCTTCCGCCACCCTCGAGAGTATTGCGAAGATACATCACGCAAATGTTCAGCAAAGACTGGAAGCAGGACATGCTTCAGCGGGGCATCGATCCCAAGCGTGTTCTGCCAGAAGCTATCCAAGAGCTTGCAAACAAACTTTGTTTGCAAGCTCTTGGATAGCTTCTGGCAGAACACGCAAACTCAGTTGGGCTGTAGGCTGGCATTGTGGGATGGTTGTGCCTGAATGCCGCGGCAGCCGGAATTCGTGCCGACACTCCTTCTTCGCACGGAAAATGCTTGCGGATGGCACTCGGGCTTCAGCAGTGTAGAGTGCAGCGACCCTAGCTATAAAAAAAGCTCGAAGTTTCAGTCGCAGCGCGTCGCCTTTGCCTTTAGCAGCTTTCTGCCGGACTGAACTCTCGCCGAGGCGCAGCAGCGCAGCGTTTATCGTTTTCACAGTGGCTGCAAAGAGCCTGCTTTTGGATTTCATTTTCCATGCTTGGTCCGCCTCCAAGTGTCCTGTGAAGCGGTCTTGTCATTCTGGGATAGCCACTTCCTCAGGTCTCATCGAGTGTCTGTGTCGTGGCCGGCGCCTCAGTCTGTGGCTGTCTCCTGCCGCAGGCGCTTATGTTGTGAACTGTTCGCCAATCTTTCATCCGCATCTCTAGTACACCTTAGTACATGTCAAGAATGCCTCCGCTCCGACACCCAAGTGTCCTTCAGCCAGTCTGTTGCCAACGGCCGTCGACTTCAATCTGTCTATGCTTGTCGGTGTACCGTTGTCAAAGCTAGGAAGAACAGTTGACGTGCGTCCACATGCTGGTCGATGTATATGCAACTGTCAAAGCATGTCAAAGTTGTGCACAACACAGTGTCCAGCAACCTCCCCACTTCGCCAAGCTGGGGTCAGAGTGTGTCAACAACGAAGCTTCATCGAGAACCCGTGAAATGGGGAAGGCGGGGGCGAGGAGAGGGGGAGTTCATCTTTCACTCCGCTCCCCGCCCAATCCCCGCCGTGAAAGTAAGTCTCCTCCATCGCCCCCAACCCCGAGCCGTAACAGATAATGTTGCATGTTCCACACGTTCCGCCCCACCGGCGTGAAAGATCCCATTTTATGTTTCACCCCGCCCCCTCCCCGCCCCGCCGCGCGTGAAAGAACAAAATGTACATCTTTCACACCCCCGTGAAAGACAAGATTTGATTTAATCATTTGGCCCCCAGCCCACCGTCATGAAACAGAAAGTTTGATGTTTCCCCCTCCCTGCCACCACCGTGAAAGACACAGTTTCATCATCCACCCCTTGCCCGGTCCCAACCCCCCACAGCGAAAGGTAGATGAATGATCAGCGGTTGAAACCCACTTAGCTCCACTTAGCTGCGCATGTTTTCAGTTCAAAATACACCGACACCCTAAGCTGGTCTTGCCCTGACTCCGTGTCTTGAATAGAACACGGGGTCGCCCTGGACCCGCCGCCACATTTCGATGTTCGACATGGCGCACGCCCCTGCCACGATTCTTGATCTCGACTGCTGAGCTAAACCCGATCATGTCTGTGTCCTGCCACCACCCCCCGACACCCCCCAAAGTGTTGCCCAGGCCAGCAGGCTGAAGGGCCCCTACTGTATCCTCGTCAGAACTTGCCATTGCTCGGCACTCCATTTCCAAAGCTGCTTCCCCTCCAGTCCCGCCACCCGTATTTTCTGGGTTTGCACACAGCACTTCACTTGAAACCACATAGCTCCACGAAGCAACAAAAAAGGCGATCTCTAGAACCGCTTGGCTACTACCAGCACGTCTCGACCTCGAGAAGCAGAACAACTGCCCGCCTTGCTCGATGACTTGCAGCGTTCACCCTTGGCATGGGAGTGCATTGCGAAGTGACACGAGCAAGGAGTCAAGGAGTCGTTGAGGGCGGTTTGCGGGAGGGGCTGGCAGGGACACGTGGGGCGCCCCGCACTTCTCTGAACCCTCAGGAGTGGGGCAGACCTCCTGCCGGGAGCCGAGGCTCGGCTCAGCTCTGTAAGCGGGACATGCAGAGAGTCGCGCCTCGTGTCCGTGATGGCCAACTTGATGGCGTTTGCCTCTTTTGCCCAATGCTTCTACCGGGTTCTTCCCGAAGTTGAACAAAAAGGCACAGCGCGGTAGCTTTCGACCAGCCTGGTCATCCTTATTTACCTGAACAGATGGACCCCGAAATCCTTATAAGCGATTTTATCGAAGCTTCTTCTGTTACCCTCGTCTTGCGCCGGTTTCGAGGCCAGGCGACTGCGACAGCCTCTGTGCCAGCGGCCCGACTCCTGCAGCCAGCCTTCCCTTTTTCGATTCTTCGAAACTCTACCGCTTAAGGTGGGGGGGCTTCAGCTGCGAGTTCGAGGATGCAGAGGCAAGCGAGTCTTTCGGTGTTTGGTGGTGCAGCTCTCTTTTATGCGAAACCGAACCCCCCGGTTGCAGAAGACGCGACCTGCGACCTTCGGGGGCTTTCTCTTGCTTGCCTGTTTCCGTAAAACAAGAAGGTTTCAAAGCGCCTCTTCTCTCTTTGGCTTTCCCTATAAAAAAAGGAGGGAAGGAGAAGGAGGCCTTCAGGGGGGGGGGGGCCTTTTCGACGAAAGGCTTTCGCTCTGGGCCACCGGATGGCACCGGCCTCGCGCTTCCACCGCACCCAGCTATGCACACGCACACGAAGCGTTGTGGACTTCAGAATCATGGAGCATGAGCTTCAGGCATCTCGAGAAGAGCTTGAAGTGCAGATGCCGAACGGCTGAGCGGTTGCTTGAAAGCTTCCAATGCCAGACAGTACGATCAGTCCTAAGCCGTGCGGTCATTTCCGAGGGACGTTATTGCATACATCTGCAAGCCCGGTCCTTGTGGAGAGTGTGACGGGATGCTATGGACACCACGTGGCTGCGCGTTCCAGCAGTGCGCTCCTCTCCGGTCGACGTCCGTGTGCCTGCAGTGCGGCTTTTCGATCATTTTTTCTTCCGGAGACGGAGCTGCGACAGCTAGCAGCCCCGACCAGCGCGCCACCCAGGCTGCACGCGTTGCCGCTCGCACGGCAACTTGCACGTCGGAGGCGAGGCTATTCTTATTGGCGTCGACCTGGACACCAAGATGGTCTTGGCTGTGCCCGGGCCCAACAAAGGAGCTGTTATCCTGGCGAAGGCGACCGAGGAGATCGTCAGGTTCACCCTGGCATTGCACCATGAGCAGGCGGCCATCGTCCAGTCGGACGGGGAGCCCGCCATCAAGGCGGTCGTGCGGGCGGGCCGTTGCCGCGGCGAGGGACAGACTTGGCCGAAAGACAGTGCAGCGCACAACGCCAGTAGCTGCACACGAGTCCAATGGAGCAGCCGAGCGCACAGTGCAGACTATCAGGCGCTTGGGCGCTTGTATGCTGCTGGGCTTTGAGCTGCAGAGTGGGAAGCTGGCGCCGGACACCCCGCTCAAGTTGTGGAGCCAGGTGCAGGCCGCAGACCCGGTATGAAATCGCGTTTGGAGGGAAACGCTTCGACCAGAAGCTCTGCGAAATCGGGGACACCGTCTATGGCCAGGTCTTCCGAACCAACAAAGCGGAACCCAGATGGTTCAAAGCGATCTGGGTGGGGATGAACCCCCACAGCGGCGCCAACAACCTCATGACGGTCTACGGGCACATCCAGAGCGCCTCTGTTCGGCGAGCGGCCCCGGACCAGCAGCTGACGGCCGACCAGATCAAGGAAGGTGGGTTCATGGGCTGGCCCTGGAACAAGGACTTTGTGGAGAAGCCGGCCCGCCGAAAGAAGCGTGAGACGAGGACAGCTGAACCCGCTCCACGGCTGGAGCCTGGAGTTTCCCTACCTCTTGGAGCTCCTGCCGGGCACCCTCTTCTATCTGAGGAGGACAGTGAGGCCGAGCAGGTCGAGAAAGCAGCCCGAGACAGGGCAGACGGCGGAAGCTCTGAGGAGCTGTTGCCCGCGACCCCACCGAGATCACCAACTACGCCTGCGACGCCACCGGACCTGCAGTCACCGTCGCAGGCGGCAGCTAGTGGGAAGAGAAAAGCCGATGAGGCCGAGCCGTTTACCCCTTAGCCCGTCGTTTCCCTCCTGGGTGGCAAGCTCTGGGGAACAGCCGGGCAGCCCGCCAAAGCGGAAGGCTGAGGCAGAGCCATTGTCAGCCGGAGCCGTCGAGAAGCGCAAGGCGGAGGAGATGGCCCAAGGCAGCCAGAGCAGCAGCAGCGACAGCGGGGACGGCGGAGGCTCGATCAGAATGGTCGAGACAGTGGACGCAGAATGGGCCGAGCACGGCATGGAGGTCGAGGCGGAGATTGCGGCAGACAGCCCAGAGGCAAGCGAGGACCCGCCAAGCTTGATCAGTGAGGAGTTGGCGGTGCTGGACGACGCCGCCGAGCTGGAGGAGATCGACCGCCTGGAGAAGATGACAGTGTTGGTCGACCCGGTGGCAGGGGAGGAAGCCGAGCACCTCAGCACCGTCTTCGTCAAGACCTGGAAGTTTGACTACCAGCTGTTGTTGATATGGGCTTCCATGATGGCTCCCATCGGTGACTACAGAATAATGCGTAGGAACCGGCGATAGCTCCATCGGAATCTGAAGTCCCTGAGCTCTGAGTCGTGACCACTGTCACCGACTTGACGTTTGAGCCTTTTATGGTACGATAAGGACCTCCTAAACCGGGATCGGGAAAAACACTAGGGTAACCAAACGACCTAAAAATCACTACAACCAAAATCTCTGCCAGTGCTCCCGTGCACTGAAGTAACTCTGCAATGTCGTGATCTTAGTCCGTCGCACTGAAGGAACTCTGCAATGTCGTGATCTTGCTAGACTGCAGTCGTCCGCACGTGCTTAGGCTTTTTAAGGGTTTTTGGGGTTTACCGAAGGTGTTTACAAGAGCACTGCACAAGCTGCGCACCTGAACCGACAGGACACCCTGAACAAACCCTCAACGAACCAAAAACCCCTCACTCGGCCCACGGCCTTTTCTCGTACTTGAGCCATTCGCGGTTTCGTCGTGTAAATGGCTTCTCCGACATGCTTGGCATCTTTGAGACAAGCATATGTCAACTGCAAAAACATGCATGCGAACGTGTCGTGAAACTCCTTGCACTAGCCCTTTACATGGCTGCCCCGTAGCCTCTTCGCTTTCTTTTTACGAGGTCTTGACTTCGTTCTTGTTTCGGGCCAGTGCCCTTCACCTACACCTACAGCTACTCTTCAAACGCACAGCACAACACGTACGTGTGCATCATGTGATGTGCTTCTGTACTGAGTAGCATAGATAGAAACAGTTAGTTCGCAGAAGAAGTTAATTAATACTTCAAACACGCAGCTCTGCATCAAGAGCATGTATAAAATATCATGGGCATCAGGGGGTTCCAAAAACACTCCTCCTTTCCGGCTCCACGGTTTCGTGGTGCTGGAAGCTTTGTCCCCCGTGCCGCATGATCAAAAGCTCATCGCCCTAGTCGGCGCACATGTACTCCGAGCCGTCCTCGAAGTTTCCCAAGCCGTTGCTTGGGCAATATCTTCGTGAGAGCATCTGCTGTAAGCTCCGCTCCAGACTTCCACTCACACGTGATGTCCGAAATGCTTGCGTCCTTGTAGCCGCGATGCACCATGTCCCGCACCCACGCACACCTCATAGCGAAATGCCTCGTTCTCCAGGTGAGTGGGTTAAAGTCCGGCTTGGTAATGGCCGTCACGGTTGCCGCATTATCTCCAACCAGGACTAACTTGGGTTTGTATCCGGTTATCGCTTCGATCATCCCCGCGATTCTGCCGGCTTCGTAGAGCGTAGTCGCGCATGCATCGGTTTCGGCTTCACAAGTCGAATACGCCGTAAGATTCTGCCGACATGATTTCCAGAAGACGATGTTCTGACCTACACTAATAACCACCCCAGTCCTAGATCGGGAACCCGACGGAGCAAGACTAGCATCTGATTCGGCATAGATGTCCAAGGAGCCTCCTTCGTGGTGAATCATTTCCGACCACACCGTCGCCCTCAAGTATCGCCAAACTCCCTTTGAAGCGTTAACCACCCATTCAGGATTCCAAGTCTGCAGCGAAGCAAGAATTCCAACACAAGCCTGAATGTCCGGCCTGGTCTTAAGTCCCAGCCACTGCAAGCTTCCGATTTCTCCCTGGGCCTTCTTCAAGAAGTTCGCGAAACCTGGAGCGTCCTTCGGCATCAAAGGAATCTGCGTCATGTCCACATTTGGCAAGGATTCACTGCCTCGAAGATGAACGAATCCTCTCCGATGCAGTTCTCTCACCAGCCACTTCCGTTGGGAAACATGAACCCCATCTTCATGAAGAGACACCTGTGTTCCCAAGAATGTGATCTCATCGACTTTCTTGATGACCTCATCGCCATCCTTGATCTCTGCATCTGCACTGCGTGTCAAGAATCCCTGCACCTGGCATTTCCAAGTCTGCGCGATCAACTGCTTGATTCTTAAGGTAATCTCTCGGGGTCCAAAGATGAAAGCATCATCGACGAACATTGCCAAAATTCCCACCACCTTCTGTGAAGCAGTATCCTTAATGACAAAAACCCCTTTGCACTCCTCAAGTTCCTCAAGTTTAAGATCGCCATATTTGCATGCATCGCCCGCTGGTGCCACTGCCATATGAAGCTTCTCGGTCCGCTCTGTCTGCCAATCCTTCGGCCCTCTCCTCAGACCATAGATGGATTTGTTGGCATAGAACAGCACTCCCGGCGGAACCAATCCCAGCTTCACAAGTACTGCAGGTGGTCGAAGCAGTATGCGCTCGTGCTTTGGCAGTAGGCTATTAAGAAATGCAGCTGAAATGTCCAGACTCAGACCCTCCCAGTCCGGCTCCGAAGCCAGCCTTCCATAGATCAGTCGCAGGGCTTCCGGATTCAGGTTTTCACACGCAATCTCATCCTCATCGATCTCGCCATTGGGTTGAAAATTTCCGCATGCTACAAGTCGTACTCGGGCCTTGAACGCAGCCTCTGCAGCCTCAGCTTCAAGCGTAGCTCCGCCCTTAGACTCAGCCTCAGCGAAGATCTGGCTTCTTCGCCATCACCAACCTCATAGGAAGGATTGGAGGTAAAGGATCTTTTTCTTTCAATCCCAGCTCCGACCTGATGTTCGACTCCTGCAGCTCGTTCCAAACAACCTGTTCATGCATGGTGGCCATCTCTTTCTTGGCCGCTTCAATCCACTTGGCTCGCTCAGCTTCTGTTCCCTTAAAGAAAACGCTAGTGTCCACAATCTCAGCGGATGCACGCTGACCAGCTAAAATCTTCAGCATCTCCTCAGCGTCTGTCATCTCATCTTCAAATGCCGCGTTGACCACTGTGTATTTTTCCTTAGCAATATTGCTGCCCTTCTCAGGAATCGAAGTCATCGCTGCAACCACAGGAAAACCATCCATTGGACTGCAACCCCTCTGAGCTTCTTCCACAGTCAGTAGTCCCAGGTCAATGCCCAGATCACGTACGGCATCAGCATTTCTAGCTTCTCCGGCGCTAGACACCCAGATAAGATCTCCGCATTCAGATGTGAATGTTCTCCACTGCTTGTCTGTCTCCTTTAAGAGCGCAGGAAGTCTAGTCAATATCACCTCTGCTTTTCCATTGCGATGCACTTGCACAAATGCTCCATGGGTAGCTGTATCCGCTCGCCCCAGAAACATTCCCGGTTCAGCCCGAGCATCCAGTGGTGCAGGGTCTATGACCTTCACTGCCACCGCCTCTCCCGGATAGGGAAGAGATCCTTGCCACGATGGTCCGAGCACTAAATCTCTCATGCCACGCGCCGCTTCACTGAACAAGTAAGGCCAGTATTTCATTGGTACCTGCCCCTTGACAATGAACTCTCGGACCTGCTGTTTCAACAGTCCCACCATCCTCTCGGCCAATCCGTTGGCCGCCGGATCGTGTCCTGAAGTTGTGGTCTGATGCACTCCCGCCTCGTTCAAGTGTTGCACGACTCCTGTCGCCAAGAACTCCTTCGCCCTGTCAGAGTGGATGCGCACGACAGCCCTTTCTCCGACCAATGCATAAAGTTCGCTCAAGATTGAAGCTATTCCTGCATCAACATGTTCCCACAATCTCCTTTTCAGACAGCGAATGAAAGGCAAGACATGATTGTCGTCGGTCCTGAAGGCTCCCACAAGTACAAAGCGATTCCCATCACATGACCCTTGATATGGGCCCGCAATGTCTATCGAGAGAACTCCAGTTGACAAGTCGTTTACTTTGATTCTTCGATGAGGCCTCTTGACGCCTCTCGCCTTGTAATCAGCAAGTCCATGGCAAACGGCTGCGGCTTGGGATCCATGGCTTTCTCCTAAGTCTTCCAGACACTCATCCCCAACCACTCCGAAATCCCTGAACAAATCCCCGTCCCGGTCTGGCTCCTCGCGCTGCTCTTCGGCTTCGGTCGCCGTGCTCTCAGGCTCAGCAGATTTAGGGTCGGGTGATCCGGATGGACCAAGTTGGGATTTGGGCTTAGGGTCCTTAAGGTCAGGTGATCCGGCTGGACCTTGAGTGGAATCAGGCGTAGGGTCCTTAGGGTCGGGTGATCCGGCTGGACCTTGGGTCAAGGACTTAACCTTATGACTACCTCCACTAGGCAACCGAAAACCTAAATCCTTCAAGGCGTCTATGTCAGCATCTGATAGCTTCTCCCAGCTCCGCGGCACATAAGCAATCTCCACAACTCTAGAGCCCGTGTAAGGTTCTGTCCCATGAAGCTTCTGGCCCCAAAACGTAACGACCTGTCCTCCAGCTGTTGCGTGCAATGTACCCAGCTTGGGCGGCTCGTCTGAAGACACAGTCCTCAGCTCGGTTCCATTCTCGTCTTCTATCCACAATTCACCTCCGCAGTGCTTGGTAAGACCAATGAGGGTGGTTTGATTGTTGTGGTCGTTGGGATCCTTATGCGGCCTGAAAACACAATCACGTGAAACCACAACCGAAAGGAAAGGATTCGAAGTGTTCGCCTTCATGTACTTCACTAGAACCCTCGTAAGATAAGGATGTTGTCTAGTCAGCGACGTAATCCCTCTCAAACCCCCTTTCACCCACGCTCCAAACACCCACAAGGAAACCTTCTCTTGAGTGCCCTCTATCTTGTTCATGCGATTTGAAACCGTCGGCTTCAAGTCGGCCTGATTGATGGCCTGCAGGACATCAGCATACGTAAGACAGCTCTTATCAAGCAGATTCTTGGCGAACTCCTCACCTGGATGCTCAACTGATGCTGCCTGGACTACTGTCTCCTCCTGAGCACTGATCGCATGATCAAGATCCGTCCAACTCAAGATTTTGCACACTTCTGAAGATGACTCCGCGATCGCAGCGACTCGCGATGTGTGGTGTTTTTTCCAATGTTGCGTCATCAAGGGTCTAAGCTTAAGGAAGGTATTACGGGTCATAAAAGGCAGTCCATTGACCTCGCGCAGCTGCACGGTGTCACCTCCGATTTCGGATGGAAGGTGCAGTCTAGGGCCGTTGATATAATCCCATTCAAACTTGCATCCAACCTGAACTAGCCTATTGACCCCGCAAATTATCTCCCCATTCTCAACCCCTACAA